AATCTGGCTTTATACTTATCAATTGTGCCATCCACCTTCATTTTTCTTTTGAGGGTCCATTTACATCCTAATGCCTTGCAACCAGGAGGTAAATCAGCCAATACCCAAGTATTGTTATGCATGATAGAATCAATCTCATCATGAATTGCCTCTTTCCAGAAATGAACATCCCTAGAAGCCATAGCTACACTGAAAGTCTTTGGATCCTCTTCAATATTAAAAAAATATTGATGTTGAGAAATAGTCTCATTCCTTGTTCCTTCAACTAAATATAGTTGAAAATCAGATCCGAAACACTTAGCTTTTCTAGCTCTGGTGCTTTTCCTAGGTTCAGGTACAGAACTTGCAGCACCAGAAACATCTTCAACTTGAGTAGTACTCTAGCTGGAAGATTGATGAATCATGTCCCTTGGTCTAGGTATAGATGTAAATCTTTCTTCATCAAAGATAGCATCTCTTGACTCTATCACTATGTTTACAGACACAGAGTCATTAGACTCTAAAACATAGAATCTATATGCTTTGGAATGCTCAGCATATCCAATAAAGATACAATCTACACCTCTCTCACCTAATGTTTTCCTTTTGTTTTCCTTTTAAGATAACTCAAATTTGGTACTTTTTTATACCAAAGTTCATAAGGAGTATTCTTACTCCTTTTATTTGGAGTTCTATTCAAGATGTAACAAGCAGTTAACATTGCCTCACCCCAAAATCCTTCACTTAAACTAGAATATGACAACATGGAATTAACCATTTCTTTCAAAGTCCTATTCTTCCTTTCAGCTACACCTTTTTGTTGTGGTGTATATGGAGCTGTGGTTTGATGTATTATTTCAGTTGATTCAAAATAAACTGGATCATAATACTCACCACCTCTATCAGTATGCAATACTTTTATTAATTCATTTTTCTAAAGCTCAACTTGTTGTTTATAAATTTTAAATTTATCAAGTGCTTCATCCTCAGAATGTAGCAAATAGATATAACAATATCTAGATGCATCATCAATAAAAGTAATAACATACTTCTTGTTTCCAAGGGAAGGTGTTGCATGGAAATCACATAAATCACTATGTATAAGATTTAACACCTTGCTTTCCCTAACAACATCTTTGAAAGGTTGTATAGTGATTTTAGTTAGCATGCATGTTTTACATTTTTCATTATTTTTCATATCAAAAGCAGGAATTAAACTCATTTTAGACATGTCTTTTAATCTATTGTAATGAATGTGTCCTAGTTTAGCATGCCATAATTCAGATTTATGAAAATTATTGCTAGTACTACTAGAAGCCATGCAAACAAAATTATCACTAGAAGGATAATTAATATTAAGCCTAATCATTCCATTACATATATAGCCAAATCCCATAAAAGAACCATGTCTTGACAAGATATACTTTTCACTTTCTAATACTTGTTTGTAACCACAATTATCTAATACAATTTCAGACACGAGATTCTTACGAATCCCTGGAACATATCAAACATTGTTCAAACACAAACATTTCCCAGAAGTAAAAGTAATTAAAACAGATGCTATGCCCTTGATTGGTTCAGTTGCAACATTTACCATTTTCACAACAGATCCATCATCAATTGGTTGAAAGTCCTTGAACCAATATTGATCTTTGCAAACATGACTTGTTGCTCCCAAATCAAACCACCATGCAACATTATCATCCTGCACATAAAATGCTTCAGAAATCATAGAAATATAATTCTGAATATAGTTAGACTTCTGCATGAAAGCAGAATTCTGACCTTGTTGCTTTTCTGGATCCTTGGATCCACTTGGTCCTGCACCATCCTTGTTCACTTTACGCAAACGATAATCTTTCTTGAAGTGACCCGGTTTGTTACAATTCCAACACACCACTTTAGCCTTCTTGTTGGAAGACTTGTCATCCTTTCCTTTAAACTTCCTTTTTCCATTAGACTTCTTTTGATTCGTTGATCCTTCTCCATCCACCATGTTCACAGAAGAGGAAACAACTTGGTTCTTTCCTTTTGGATTGTTATCAAGTTCTTGAGTCCTTAAGGACTCTTCAATCCATAAATGGCTTCCAAGTTGAGTTAAAGTCAATTCCTCTTTGTTACGTTTTAGATTGTGTTTAAAATCTTTCTAGGAAGGGGGCAGTTTGTCAATGATCACAGCCACAACAATGGCTTCATCCATTTTCAGATTGTGTTGAGTAAACTATCCCAGGATCCTTAACATTGCATGGTATTGTTCCATAACAGGTCTGGAGTCAGTCATCTTGTAACCCATAAATTTACTAACAAGAAACTTCTTGCTAGAAGCATCTTCAGCCATATACTTGGATTCAAGAGAATCCCATAGTTCTTTTGTAGATTCAAAATTTCGATAGATATCAAAAAGAGAGTCAGACATACCATTGAGAATATGACCACGACATATGTAATCATCATTTTCCCACTTTGATCTTCTTCTTGTTGTCTCCAAAGTTTCATCTTCAACAGATTCTGGTAAGACTGGCATGGGTGTACTCAGAACATACACCACTTTTAGAGTGGTAAGGAGAAACTTCATCTTCTTCTGCCATCTACGAAAATCTTGCCCTTCAAACTTGTTCAGTTTTTCAAACTTACTTGTAATTTCCTTCACAGAATCACCACTTTCCATGATTACAGTTTACTTCAATTTTTGTTAGAAATATGGTTTAGTGGCACTTGGAAATCTGAGAATCGTGAAAATCACTTTCAAATCGAAGTATTTGGGTGGTACTCCCAAATCCTCAATTGGATCAGACTCACATAAAATCAGAGAGAAAAGAAAGAGAGAGTGAGATGGTATAATTTCGTGAGTACCAGAAAAGTGACTAAAGTTGGTTATAAACCTTCCTTATCTGAAAAATTGTCAAAACTATCATATAATAGTTTTCCTCAACAGTAAAAACTGTCATAAATTCGGGTTTTGTATAAAGATTAATTCAAAGTCAAAATCGGGTCAAATATTCAAAATTTGGATTTTCTGATGCATTTTCAATACAGCAATATAACCCAGCTAGGGGCTGCCGCCCCTTGGACCGCGCTCCCACGGGCGCTACCCCTGGACCCCCGTTCGTTCAGGGGCTTCGCCCCTAAATGACAGTATACTTTAATACTTGATCAAACTTAAACAATTGTGTACTCCACACCTTCCTTACTTGTTTTATATTTATCAAGATCATTTTTAGTCAACAAAGTAATCCCTATTACACTTAAATAACATTGATGATAACAAATAACCAATAGATTGCTTAGTAACCAACATTATAAAGGGAGAAATATCAACATGTAAAGTGATTCTAGATGACCGGTGAAGGTATGTATATTTTTATCTATCAATTTTCTCTATTTCCCCATCCCTAATTTTTAATACCCTTCACCTACACTACAAGATGGCATAACTCATCCCATGTTTGTAGTTACTCATTTAAAAGTCATCTTTCATCCTTTTTCTTTAGTTTCTTTCAATAAAACTCCTGATCCCAAACATAAGAACATACTTATAGCATTAATTTATGTACCAAAACATTACTTATCTCATTTTAGGGTGAATTTAAAGATTTAGCAGTACATATCAAAACATAAAGATATAAACATACTAATAAATAAATTTAACTCGAAGTCATTAACAATCAATGTCAGATGCATATTGCTTATATTGTAACCAGCAACATCAGTTTTCACTAATTCCAAATAAGAATAAGCCCATATATCAATTAAGACAGTGCTCTACATCGAATTGATCGCCACCAACTCAACACATTATTAGGATCCACAACTAAAAACCATGATACAGTTGACTACACCATAAAAGGGTTCTCAATCTTGATAATATACTCAAATTTTGCTTTGATTCTTGTAAGATTATCACTACACTATCATTCTTTTCCCTCTGATCTTCCCCATCAATAACTCACAAGGAAAATTATATCTAATAATTCATTTTCGGGATAATTTCATCTATATCGTTACAAACTTTAAATATTACTTTAATATCCTTATAAATTTTGAAATTACATTTATATCATTTCAAACTTAAAAAAATAACATTTATATCCAAACTTATAATTTAATTTGAAATATATCAATTTAATATTAAAAAACTTATTTAAATTTCAACATTCCATATAAATTTACCAAAATATCCTTTCCATATTAAATCATAAATTAAATATTAAGCATGCTTATTGCACCTGTTTTGATTGATTCATTATTACTTTCATTAATTAATATACCCTACAATATCAAAGAACGAACCTGCGACCGTTTTTCAATTTTTTTTGCGTTCTATAACTTGCCATGGGCAAATACATCTTGGATGTTTCATGGTGCACAAATAAATTTTTACATTATCGGCGCACAAGTTTATTTAATTTAGTTTTGTACGTTGGAATATACATGATTCAATTTTTGGTTGCTCATGGAATCATATGTCAACGACTATGTGTATTATTTATTTTAATAAGGAATTGAGGCCATATAAGATCACGAAACCAATGCTTGTTGGTTTGTGAGTTTGATTTGACTTTGTATTATTAAGAATAATCAATTTATTTTGTCAATGTTGCAGTCGCAGGTTTGTTAACTTTTTGCAACCGTTTGGGTGTAAGGCGAAGGGAGAAGGCGAATGCGTTGGTTAATACTACGTATTTAATTTGGAAAGAGTATTTTAGTAAATTCATATGAAATTTTAATTTTAGATAAACTTTTGAATATTAAATTCATATAAATCAAATTAAATTATGAATTTGGATATCAATGTAAATTTTATAGTTTGAGAATGATATATAAGTAATTTTAAATTTTGTATGGATATAAAAGTAATATTTAAATTTTGTAAGGATATAGATGAAATTATCCATGTAGTTTTCAAATTTCCATGATTTGGAATTTGACCCCGATGTTTCTACTCTTCAAAATGTACCTCAAAACTTTATCTTTTCATTAAAGTTTACAATATTCATAATAAAATATATTTAATTTATATATTTCCATAACAAAATTACAATATCGACCAAATACTATAATACATTTGTCTTTAACAATTAGCATCCAAAATATTAACTAACATGGAACATCAAATATTTTGAACAACATCCAGGATATGTTGCAACTCATGGACAACATTTGCAATATTCATTCGATGTGGTGGGGAATGCACGGAGCATGACACTCCTATTCTTACAATTGAACCCAGACATTGCTCTATCTTCTTTGAATTTTCTAACATATATTTTTTAGTAATATCATCCTCTTGAAGAAACTTCAGAATATCATCATCAATAACATCGGTTATATGGTTCGACAAACCCATGCATGCAAACTTATGAAGGCTAAGGCCATCGTTAAAGAAGTTATCTGTTGGACTTTTCCCTATCATCACCTCCAACAATAGTATTCCGAAACTGTATACATCCCCACTACTTGTCATCTCACCCCCCAAACCATACTCTGCAACTTATTAGCAATTACTTTTAAAAAAAGTAGCACAACAAATAAATATAAATATCTTGGAATACATGAAATTAATTTACCTGGAGGTGTATACCCAATTGTCCCTCTAATGCCACCTGTGCTATTTTGGTTTGAATTTGTTCCAAGAAATCGAGCTAAACCAAAGTCTCCAACATGTGCCACCATATCACCATCTAGAAGAATGTTGCTAGGCTTCACGTCACAGTGAACAATGGCTTGTAAGCAGTGATTGTGAAGATAATCAAGTGCAAATGCGACATCAAGGAGTGTATTTATTCTTTGAAGAACGCTCATTCTAGATTTAAATGCACTTGAATGCAACCAATCATGTAAACTCCCATTTGGCATGAACTCGTATACCAAAGCTTTGAAGTCATTGCCATGAAAGTCAACACTTGAACATGAATTTATTATCTTTAATATATTCCTGTGTCGAATACTCCGCCATGCTTCACACTCCGCTATGAAGCTTTTATGAGCACCTCGGTTTTGAAGACGAAGAACTTTGATTGCAACAAATCTATCATCATTATCAAGGACTCCTTTGTAAACAGAACTGAAACCTCCCTCTCCGATCAAATTTTCTTTCGAGAAACCATTGGTAGCCTTGAGAAGTTGACTATATGATACTTTTCCAAATCGTTCATTAGTCAATGATCGAGACAATTGGCCCTTCCTTTTCTTACAACAAACATACGCAAAACATAAAACGATGAAAAGGGAAGATACAATTAAGATGACTATTACGTACAAAGGAAACTTTTTTTCATGTTTTCGGGTTTCCATGCATTTTGGCAACCCAAGTTCAGCCAACCCACCACAAAGCTTACTATTCCCTACAACTGAAAATGCACTTGCATTTGCGAACACTCCTACCATTGGCACTTCACCCTCAAAATTATTGAAGGATAGGTTTACATATTCTAACAATTCCATCTGTTCTAAGAATCGGGGAACTTTTCCCGATAAATTATTACGAGAAAGATCGAGTTTCGAAACTCCTCTCATGGAACTTAATGATGATGGTATCATGTCTTGAAATAAGTTGCCTTTGAGAGATAAAAATACAAGACTTGTGCAACTACTAAGACTACTTGGAATGTTACCAGATAAATTATTATCAGAAAGATCGAGAGAAGATAACATTTTAAGTTCCCCTACCTCTTTTGGAAGTGACCCAGATAGATGGTTTTGAGAAAGATATAATGATATGGTTAGAGATGAAAGTTGAAGAAGTTGCTTAGGGATTTTGCCACTTAGTTTATTGTCATTAAGGTACAATTGCGATAGATGCTGACAATTTCCTATGCTTGATGGAATACTGGATTCGAGTTTGTTGGAACTTAAATCAAGTGTAATCAACAAAGATAAGTTCCCGAAGGCATCAGGAATCGAACCTGAAAACTGGTTCCAAAAAAAATAAGCTTCACGTAGCTTTTGAAGTTGACCAATGGTTGAGGGGATTTTTCCTGTGAATTGGTTATCTCCTATACTAAAAGTATTCAACCCAACAAGATTACCTACACTTGAAGGGATATTTCCATAGAAATGATTTGCTCCTAAATATAGATTAGAAAGTTGATTCGTAAGATTACCTATTGATGTAGGCAACACTCCTTCAAAGCTGCAATTATAAAGATCTAAAATCTTTAATTTACTGCAGTTTTGCAAAGTATCAATAAACTTCATATCATCAGCTTCTCCGAATCCATAGATGTTAGAACCCAAATTTATTCTATAAATATCTTTTAGTTTCCCAAAGTCGATTGTCAACTTCCCTCGAAACTTGTTTTCACTCATTTCAAGAAATCGCAACTTTGAACAATTAGATATTGTGGGTGGAAGAGGTCCAGTCAGTTGGTTATTACGTAATTGAACGAACGTAAGATAGGGGAGCATTGTACCTATATCTGAGGGAAGACTACCAATAAGCTGATTCTCACCTAAGGAAATATTAGTTAAAAGTGAAAGGTTATAAATGGAGTAAGGAATACTTCCAGATAAGTTACAACCACCAAGGTATAATCTTGTTAAGCTTTTCCAATGGCCTAAGGTGTCTGGAATACCCCCACCCAACGGGTTGCTTTTAACAGAGAACATGATCATTGATGTTATATTCCCCAAAACAGGTGGAATTCCACCTGTTATCATATTATCAGCGACTACAAAATGGGTAAGCTTCGAGAGGAAAGTGATCTCTTTGGGTATGCTTCCAACAAGCTTGTTATTATTAAGTCTTAGCTCTTCAATGTTAGAAAAACCAGACAAGTTCGTTGGAATGACTCCACTGAAATTGTTATCGGAAAGATCGATGAAACGTAGCATGGATAAACGACTGAGTTCATGAGGGATTGTTCCTTGAAAGCTGTTGTTTGTGAGATAAAGATCACGAAGGAAGGTGAGGTTCCCGACATAAGGAGATAATGAGCCTTTAAGGCCATGTGAATTCAGTCGTAAAGCTATCACTCTTTTTTGTTGTTTCCCACATGAAACTCCAATCCAATTACAGAATTGAAAGGAAGCATTCCATGAACTTAGTGGAAAATCATTGGTGATCATCGATTTGAAATGCAACAATGCTTGATAATCGGTATTATTGTCGGAATAAGAGATGGTGGTGGTAATCAGAAAGATAATAAGGCTGAAAAAATGGAAAGCATTACGAGAGTTCATTTTGGGAAGTAAACTTGGGATTACAAGGATGATTGATGGCCTGTAAGGAAAGTAATGCAATATATCCATTATTGAGGACAATACTATACATCAACATAAGCCTTGCCTGTGCATTCAAGTAATTTTTCAAAATATTATAGTTTATATGGTGAAGAGAAGTCCAACGAATTCATGCAAATCAAGAAACAACATAAACCACACAAATATGTGCATAAGTCATCATGGAATTTATTATGTAGGGCACAGAACTTAATTTCAGTGCGTACATTTTCTACACACAGTGAATCATCTTTCAAAATCATTGTCCCACGAAAATAATGTTCGAAATCCTAAGGGTGGGTTTAGTTACGGAAAAATTGGTCGTTTTTCGGAAAATTTTCCAAAAAGATGAGAATTTTAAAAACACATTTAGTTCGTTCATTTTTCTAATTTTTTCACGTAAAATGAAAATTTTCCGTTTTCTAAAATTACAAAGACGTTGAAATTTTTTGAAAATCGATAATTATTGTTTTCCACTTTTTTTTAATTCTAAAATATAAACATACAGTTACTCTCATCTTTATCTACCCCCACCTGAACACCCGAACCCACCACACACACACAACACACAAACCAACAACCCCCCCCCCCCCCACACACACAGACACACACAAACACGTACACCCACCCCACCCCCATAACATACACACACCCACCTACAATCAATGAAACACACATATACAAAGACACACACACACACACACTCATAATACCACTACCACAATCACTGACCTATCATCATCACCACCACCACTACTATCATGTCACCAGAATCACCATTGCCGCCACAATCATCTCCACCATTGCCTGTCATCACCACCACCACCATGGTCACCATCATCGACACTACCACTGCTCCCACCCCCACCCTACCATTGCTACCGTTTTCTAAAAATAAAAACTGATAGAATTATACACATATAAACGTGTTTTCTAATTTTTTAAAATTGAAAATGAAAAATGAATAAGTTTTAATTAAACGAATTTTCTAAATTTTCCAATGAAAACTGAAAACAAAAAACAAAAACTGAAAAGGAAAAACGAAAAACGGAAAATGAAAATTATATTTCTGTAACTAAACACAACCTAATGGTGCGTCTGGTTGTGGAAAAGTTTTCATTTTTTCTGAGAATTTTCCAAGGGTATAAACTCACCTTTGCTTGTTGTTTTCTGTTTTGAAGAAAGAATGGAAGAGTTTGATGTTATTTTCAGCCCTAGAAAGCATCTTGAGAAAACTTTGGCGTAGATAGGTTCTAAGAAGCATGATCATGAACTTTCATGAGTTAGAAGGAGATTTATAAAAGAATTAAGAAACTAAAGCATTGATCTAAGTACAACTTACCAAGGATGATGATTTCTTATGGAAGAACCTCTTTGAAATGCCCTAGATCTCGAAATTTCACTACTAGAAAACATGGCATTTTCCTACAGAAAATAGCTACGGAAAATTTCCGTAGCTAATTAGCTACGGAATCGCTACGGAATGGGATGCCCTAGTTTAGTAACAGAATAGCTACGGAATAGCTACGGCATAACTACGGAATCGCGTCCGTAGCTATTCCGTAGCTAATTAGCTATGGAATAGCTACGGAATAGCTACAGATCCAAAATCCGTAGCTATTACGTAGCTAATTAGCTACGGAATGGCTATGGAATACTTACGAATACTAATTACCTACGGATTAGCTACGGAGTATGTTTTCCGTTAGAATTCCGTAGCTAATCCGTAGCTAAGTAGCTACGGATTGGCTACGGATTTATCTTATTTTCGATTTTACGAGCACCAAACGTCGTTTTTTTCGCTTCGTTATTTTCACACCTCTACTATATATAAGTATATATATTTTCACCAACTTGTAGCTATTAATATCGTTCATAAGGTCGTGTGCCCCTTCGGGATCAAGTACTCGTTTCACAGTTTAACATTGTACTTTTCACCAACTTGTGATGGATTATGTTTGTATATGTATATTTATACACATGAATGAGTTGTGGTATATGTGTACGTGTATATGTGTATGTATACGTGTTTGTGAGATGTATGTGAACGTATTTATAAGCATTATAGTGTTAAACCACTAAATGAGTAATGGATATCGTATGTGCACACAATTTTATGAATGATATTAATAGCTATAAGTTGGTGAAAACATAAATAATCATGTATAATAGAGGTGTGAAAAATGGAGCGAAAAAAAACGAAGTTTGATGCCCGAAAAATAAAAAATAAGAAAATTCCATAGCTAATCCGTAGCTAATTAGCTACGGATTACCTACGGATGTTTCTTATTTTCGATTTTTTGGGCACAACGTTGTTTTTTTCGCTTCGTTTTTTTCACACCTCTACTACACATGATTATCTATACTTTCACCTACTTGTATCTGTTAATATCGTTCATAAAGTTGTGTGCCCCTTCGGGATCAAGTACTCATTTCACTGTTTCACATTGTATTGCCTATACTTTTCCCCAACTTGTGATAGATTATGTTTGTATATGTATATTTATATACATGAATGAGTTGTGGTATATGTGTACATGTATACATGTTTATGAGATGTATGTGTACGTATTCATAAGCATTATAGTATTAAACCATCAAACGAGCAAATGGATCCCGTATGTGCACACGGCTTTGTTAATGATATTAATAGTTATAAATTGGTGAAATTATAGATAATCATGTATAATAGAGGTGTGAAAAAAACGGAGCGAAAAAAACGACGTTTGGTGACCGAAAAATTGAAAGTAAAAAATTCCGTAGCTAATCCGTAGCTATTTTGCTACGGAATATGCTTTCCGTTAGAATTTCGTAGCTAATCCGTAGCAAAATAGCTACGAATTTTTTTTATTTTCGATTTTTCGGGCACCAAACGTCGTTTTTTTCGCTCCGTTTTTTTCACACCTATACTATACATGATTATCTATAATTTCACCAATTTATAGCTATTAATATCATTTATAAAGCTCTGTGCACATACGGGATCCATTTGCTCGTTTAATGGTTTAACATTATAGTGCTTATGAATACGTACACATACATCTCATAAACACGTATACCTACATCATCATCATCATCATAATCATCATCATCACCACCATCACCACCATCACCACCACCATCATCATCATCACCAACATCACCATCACCACCATCATCACCATCACCATCATCATCATCATCATCACCACCACCACCACCATCATCACCACAACCATCATCATCATCATCACCACCACACCACTATCATCATCAATATCACCATCACCATCACCATCATCAACATCACCATCATCATAACCATCACCAACACCATCACCTCACCATCACCAACATCACCATCACCATCACCAGCATCAGGATCAGCATCAACATCACCATCACCATCACCATAACCATCATCATTTTCATCACCACCACCATCAGCATCAGCATCAACATCACCATCACCATCACCATCACCATCACCATCACCATCACCATCACCATCACCAGCACCACCATCACCATCACCACCACCACCACCATCACCATCTCCATCACCATCACCACCATCACCATAACCATCACAAACATCATCATCACCATGACCATGACCACCACCACCACCATCATCATCATTATCATCATCAACATCACCATCACCATCACCATCATCAACATCACCATCATCATCACCATCACCATCACCATCACCATCACCAACACCATCACGATCACCCTCACCATCACCAACATCACCATCACCAGCATCAACATCACTATCACCATCACCATCACCATCAGCATCACCATAACCATCATCATTTTCATCACCACCACCATCAGCATCAACATCAGCATCAGCATCAGCATCACCATCCGCATCAACATCAGCATCACCATCACCATCAACATCAGCATCAGCATCAGCATCAGCATCACCAGCATCACCATCACCATCACCACCACCACCATCACCACCATCACCATCTCCATCACCATCACCAGCATCACCATAACCATCACCAACATCACCATCACCATGACCATGACCATCACCACCACCACCACCACCACCACCATCATCATCACCATTACCATCCACATCACCATCACCATCACCATCACCATCACCGTCACCATCACCATCACCACTAAATGTCGACTTTTCGGCGACCAAATGTCGTTTTTTCTTTGTTTTTTTCACACTTCTATTAACTATTCGTGTCTTAAATATGTAAGAAAATTTATCCAAAAAAAAGATTCGAATATTGAATAATAATAATAATAATAATAATAATAATAATAATAATAGTAATAATGGAAATAATAATAATTATTATTATTATAACTATAATAGAATTGATAATAACAATAATAATAATAACTAGCTGTTTACCCGCGCCAAGCGCCGGGTGCGAATAATTTTTTTTAACAATTATTTTTGTTAAAAACATGTATGATTCGGTGCCCAACTTTAACACACATATACTTATAAGATAAACCTTAAGCATAAAATCTAATTTTCTTTGGAAGATGGTAACGTTTGACTTGGAAATGAACCCACTTGGATAGATTATTTTGAGTTTAAAATAAAAATACAATGTTGCCTTAAATAAATTTTATTGTTTTTATTTGAATATTCATATTTTCATTTGGGATCTAAATTCGTTTTGAATATTTAATACTTAGTTCACTATGTCAACCTAAAACGTGTGTGTGTGTATATATATATATATATATATATATATATATATATATATATATATATATATATATATATATATATATATATATATATATATATATATATATATATATATATTTTTTTTTTTTCCTTTATAAATATATTGTTTTCCATTAAAAATAAAAGTTTTTATTGTTAATTTTTAGGAAAAGATTTTAAAATTGTTTTAGATCAAACCTGATCATTGGAACGCCAGTTTAGGTTTTTAACGTTTTGGAACCGCCTTTTACGGTTCCGGTATCAGTTCTCATATTTTTTCGGAACCGCTGCCTAATGGGTACCCGTCCAAACAAGTTTGTATATATAAAAGTTACTTAAATTTAGAGACATGTAATTGCAAATTTGATTTGATGCAAATAATTAGTTTAAAAGATATGTAATCGGTTATACATATAAATATATAAAAAGACATTATAAATATATAACAAATACCTACAAATAATTAACAAAATTCATTTGTTTATAATGGTCGTCCCACATTGCTCGATATATATATATATATATATATATATATATATATATATATATATATATATATAATATATATATATATATATATATATATATATATATATATATATATATATATAATATATATATATATATATATAGTAGCTGTTTACCCGCGCCAAGCGCTGAGTGCGAATAATTTTTTTTAACAATTATTTTTGTTAAAAACATGTATAATTCGGTGCCCAACTTTAACACACATATAATTATAAGATAAACCCTAAGCATAAAATCTAATTTTCTTTGGAAGATGGTAACGGTTGACTTGGAAATGAGCCCATTTGGATAGATTATTTTGAGTTTAAAATAAAAATACAATGTTGTCTAAAATAAATTTTATTGTTTTTATTTGAATATTCATATTTTGATTTGGGATCTAAATTCGTTTTGAATATATATATATATATATATATATATATATATATATATATATATATATATATATATATCATTTTTCTTTTTTTCCTTTATAAATATATTGTTTTCCATTAAAAATAAAAGTTTTTATTGTTATTTTTTAGGAAAAGATTTTAAAATTGTTTTAGATCAAACCTTATCATTGGAACGCCAGTGTAGGTTCCTAACGTTTTGGAACCTCCTTTTACGGTTCTGGTATCGGTTCTCATATTTTTTTGGAACCGCTGCCTAATGGGTACCCGTCCAAACCAGTTTTTATATATAAAAGTTACTTAAATTTAGAGACATGTAATTGCAAATTTGATTTGATGCAAATAATTAGTTTAAAAGATATGTTATCGGTTATACATATAAATATATAAAAAGACATATTATAAATATATAACAAATACCTACAAATAATTAACAAAATTCATTTGTTTATAATGGTCGTCCCACATTGCTCGATATATACATATATATATATATATATATATATATATATATATATATATATATATATATATATATATATATATATATATATATATATATATATAATAGCTGTTTACCCGCACCAAGTGCTGAGTGCGAATAATTTTTTTAAAAATTATTTATGTTAAAAACATGTATGATTCGGGGCCCAACTTTAACACACATATACCGAGAGATATTTATGGTGAGAGAAGGTTTGAACTCGAGATCTAATCGCCATCACTTGCGATGAAATCTGTTTAGATATAGAGAGATAGATGAAGAAATATATGACTGATTACAATATATCAATAATGAGGCAATACAAATGGTAGAGCATGGCGGCAGAAGCGTTAAACGGATTTAGATGTTATGGATTTTATAGAAAGAGCCGTGGATGATGGATTAAGGCTTTTTGGTGAAGAAGATATATGTATAAGTATGTGAACCCTAAATGTGAGGAAAATTAGCAGAGTAGCCAAGATTAAGGGAATAAAGGTCGAAAGTACATTAATTTGATAGAATTGTTTTTTTTAAAAAGAAGTATGTTTCACCTAGTTGTACATTGTGTTTATATATTTGTACCTCTTAATTTTCAAGAAAGAGGCAATATGTTTAATAATATAGTATATATATATATATATATATATATATATATATATATATATATATATATATATATATATATATATATATAACGCTGATGATTTATCTTATCTATAAAGATGATGTACGTCCCACAATGCTTGGTGTTAAGAAGAGTGATCACTTTTTTACTCTATAAAATAAAAGAAAGCTTAATTCTTTCCCGCAAGTTTCACAATTTTCCTTCTATCAACGATCCTCGATTACAATAACAATACAAATTAGAAAGATTTAAAGAGCTATAGAAACTTCCATACCCAAGTGAAAAACATTTTGTAATTACAACAAACACTAACCAACAACTTATTACATCATATGAAGGTAAAAAAAATATGAAGTATAGAAAATATTTATATCTTTTGAGAGATAAACATATTACACAACTTACTTAACATATTGTAATTACAACAGAGGCTAACCAACCAACATTTGCATGCTAAAAATGACTACAAAACATTAACTACCAAGGGTAATTATCAGAATCCCCCCTCCCCTTTAAATGAGTTTAGTGAAGCGCATCTCTAACCCCCCTTAGCATTCCATTTAGCAGCCTTGTTTGTAGCAACAACTTTACTGCAAATTGAGTTATTGCTACAACTCCTTTTTTAGCCTAAGAAGATTATATTTTAGTACTTCCTTTTAATCACAAAGTGACATGAAATTGCATTCCACCATATCCTCTCCATAAGTATCGGAATATATGACCATTATTACCATTTTCAAGAAAAAAAAACTAAATCACAAACATGAAATAAAAATACATAAAATATCATAAAGCAAATAATTAGATGTGTTAGAAATTGAACAACAAACATGCGTAACTACACATTCAATAAGATTGAATTTTAGACAAATCAAAATTGCAAAGAAACGAAGAAATACATGTCATCCCAAAAAAGGGCTAAAAACTCTAATTATTGACTAAATTTTTAAAAGTAATTTAAGAGGTTGATATTATGATTCCAATATTATGCATCGTCATTCAAGACTATCATATGAACCATGATGTCATAATACATTTAATGAAGACTACCTGTCACCACTGTTACCTGTAATAATCCTACATGGAACTCGAATTTTAATTTCTTTTTTTAATATTATATCACTATGGTACAAACATCACTCACCGACTGGAAAACCAAAAAAAAATCTCATCTTTGTCTAAAAAATAGAGAAGAATCAGAAAACATATATATGATTTGCAAAAATTCAAATCAACTTTTGGTCATTGTTTCATACATACCACGTTTATGAAGTTAGACACATATAGAATTGATTAAAAAAAGGCATTACACTCCTCAGAGATAGATCAAATGGTTTCTCTATCCATAAGAAAGTTCTCAATATATGATCATTTTATACCTGATCAGTCTCAAAATGAGACATGAATGGGTAGTCAAGAATGGGACATTTTAAGTACTTAAAGGTTGTGTCGGCTTTAGGAAAAAGGTAAAATTTATTAAGTAAGAAGAATTATGGGATGGATGCATGTATATGTATGTGATATGTATTAGATCAACAAATACGGATGAAGCAATCCCAAAAACATCAATATTACAATTTGACGGAAGTTAACAAAATCAATGCTACTGCAATTTGAATAAAAATTCTTATATGCTTAACTGAACATGTCCATACGAATATATATCGATAGAGGTTTATGAAATAGGATATTAAGGAAGAAAATTTAAATGATACCTTATAAAAAAACTGGTAGTCCATGAACCTTAATTGGAGAGTTTTGGATTTACATTGGGAAAAAAACTTAAAGGGGTAGAAAAAAGGATAGAGACAGATGAAAAAGAAGCGAGTAAATAAGTTTCTTGACCGTACCTATACTCAAAAGTCAAGAGCCAACAACCAAAATTCCCATTAACACGAAATCCTTCACCCAACACCAAAAGGTGAATCATTTTTTTTTATTCTGGAACATAGTTGGGATGATTTCCAGCAACAAGTCCAAATGACGAAACCCCTTCTCCTTCCTTTGACTCACATCCATCCTGTTTCTTGAACAACATTCAAAACGTACAAGATTGAGTTTTATAAAAAAGATTAAATGCCCGAAAAATAAAATCAAAATGGAGAGAATCAATGTCAAATCTTACTTCAAGGTAGGTCTTTGTTAGATTTCATTTCTAGGTAATTAGGGACGGGATTAATGATTGAAAAGCCCTAAAAATAGGAAACCCCAATATCGTTCGTGTTCATTGAAAAGCCCTAATATCATTTATTTTGCACTTTTTACTGGAAGCATGTGGCTTTAATGGTGAAATGCCTTTAGCCAAAGAAGTGAAATACCAATAGAGGGTTGTAGATACACTTTCAAAAGGAAATTATATGGTTAAGATATCATAAACAGAGAAGTGAAATACTTTTAAACAGGAATTGCCCCAACATAGAGCAGAGAGATGAAGTCGTAGTTGGTCACATGATCGTAAAAATTGTAGAAAGCAATCACGCGCTTAAAATAGTTGATTACCTATTTCCCTCTTTCGTTTAAAACAAAACACAAAGAAGCGTCAACCAACAAACATCATAACGGAAAATGAAAAGAAAAAAAATAGGAGGATACACATACCGAGAGATATTTATGGTGAGAGAAGGTTTGAACTCGAGATCTAATCGCCATCACTTGCGATGAAATCTGTTTAGATATAGAGAGATAGATGAAGAAATATATGACTGATTACAATATATCAATAATGAGGCAATACAAATGGTAGAGCATGGCGGCAAAAGTGTTAAACGGATTTAGATGTTATGGATTTTATAGAAAGAGTCGTGGATGATGGATTTAGGCTTTTTGGTGAAGAAGATATATGTATAAGTATGTGAACCCTAAATGTGAGGAAAATTAGCAGAGTAGCCAAGATTAAGGGAATAAAGATGGAAAGTACATTAATTTGATAGAATTGTTGTTTTAAAAAGAAGTATGTTTTAGCTAGTTGTACATTGTGTTTATATATTTGTACCTCTTAATTTTCAAGAAAGAGGCAATATGTTTAATAATATAGTAAATATATATATATATATATATATATATATATATATATATATATATATATATATATATATATATATATATATATATATATATATATATATATATATATATATATATATATATATATATAACGCTGATGATTTATCTTATCTATAAAGATGATGTACGTCCCACAATGCTTGGTGTTAAGAAGAGTGATCACTTTTTTACTCTATAAAATAAAAGAAAGCTTAATTCTTTCCCGCAAGTTTCACAATTTTCCTTCTATCAACGATCCTCGATTACAATAACAACACAAATTAGAAAGATTTAAAGAGCTATAGAAACTTCCATATCCAAGTGAAAAACATATTGTAATTACAACAAACACTAACCAACAATTTATTACATCATATGAAGGTAAAAAAAATATGAAGTATAGAAAATATTTATATCTTTTGAGAGATAAACATATTACACAACTTACTTAACATATTGTAATTACAACAGAGGCTAACCAACCAACATTTGCAAGCTAAAAATGACTACAAAACATTAACTACCAAGGGTAATTATCAGAATCCCCCCTCCCCTTTAAATGAGTTTAGTGAAGCGCATCTCTAACCCCCCTTATCATTCCATTTAGCAGCCTTGTTTGTAGCAACAACTTTACTGCAAATTGAGTTATTGCTACAACTCCTTTTTTAGCCTAAGAAGATTATATATATTAGTACTTCCTTTTAATCACAAAGTGACATGAAATTGCATTCCACCATATCCTCTCCATAAGTATCGGAATATATCACCATTATTGCCATTTTCAAGAAAAAAAAAACTAAATCACAAACATGAAATAAAAATACATAAAATATCATAAAGCAAATAATTAGATGTGTTAGAAATTGAACAACAAACATGCGTAACTATACATTCAATAAGATTGAATTTTAGACAAATCAAAATTGCAAAGAAACGAAGAAATACATGTCATCCCAAAAAAAGGCTAAAAACTCTAATTATTAACTAAATTTTTAAAAGTAATTTAAGAGGTTGATATTATGATTCCAATATTATGCATCGTCATTCAAGACTATCATATGAACCATGATGTCATAATAGATTTAA